GGGCGCCGCCCGGAAAAGCTGCCGTGGAGCACCTGAAGCTGGTGGCACCAGTGATGTTCAGGCAGAGGGCTGCGGGCTCAGTGGCTTTTGAGTCCTGGTGTCCTGTGGTGCCGGGTCAACAGGCAGGGCTGGTGTTCAGAATGTTCTTAATAATTTAAGCAAGATATTAACAAGACGGTATGATACGAGTTCAGGAAAGTACAGGTACAACAGCATCCATGACCCTACCCTGGAGGAATGTGACAGTGGTCCACTGTAGGCTTTGAATGTGACCCTACTGCTGTGCTCTCCCTGTGCCTCAGGATTACTTCCCCAACCTAGAAAAATTTATCTGTCCCTGAGTACACAGCCACCATAGGAACAAGTTATCCAGACTTTGGGGATGGTACCAGAAGATCTCAGAAATGACTCTCTCCCAAATTAACAAGTGAATTACAGCTCCAACACAGAACACCTGGAATGTAGCCTTTGAACCACCTCTTTAACTCTCCCCCTGCGGTTCATGACAATGGGCAGAATTACAGCTTCTGGGACAGGAGTCCCCAGAAACAAATCAATAAACCTTCGTTTTCCTTTTTCTTAAAACCATGCCATCGTTATTGGATTGGCATCAGGAACAAGGAGCAAGCTTTCAGCAACAGGCACATTATAAGAAAATGTGGATTGCTGGGGCATCCGTTGCTTCCGCTGAGAACTAAAAAATAAATATTAAAAAAAAAAAAAAAGAAAATGGCAAGGTAGAGAAAAGTGTATTGTATTCTGTATTTGTAAAAGGGCATGTAAAAGTCAGGCACGCTTGTAGCCCAGATACTTAGGTGTCTGAGGTAGGAGAGTGGCTCCATTCTAGGGGTACCAACCCTGTCTCAAAAACAAACAAACAAAAAGGACATGAAAAGATTGCAAATATGATCCAGGCGCAGTGGCACACACCTGTAATCCCAGCAGCTCCAGAGCCTGACAGAAGGATCACAAGTATAAAGCCAGCCTCAGCAACAGCGAGGCGCTAAGCAACTCAGTGAGACCTGTCTCTAAATAAAAAATACAAAATAGGGCTGAGGATGTGGCTCAGTGCCCCTGAGTTCAATCCCCTGTACCGGAAAAAAAAAAAAAGGGGGAATAGTGTTCTACCGCAGGGTTTCTTGTCATTGAAGGGATTAAAATATGCTCTTCTGTCAGGTACTTAGGCCAAAGTAACTCCATTTTGAAAATCAGCACCTGCCACCCATGCAGGCATGACCTTCCCGTTAAGGCCCACCCTGAAAGAGTCCCTAACTACCAAAACGACAGCAAAGATGCCACATAACAATCACAGGACCGATGGGTCATTTGTAAACTACTCTGTTGTCCTTGACTATGTAGATGAGAAGTTTTTTCCGGCAGGCTGCTGCGCCTTGCAGAAGGGCAGCCTAGCAGATATTCTGTCAACAAACCTTTGCTTGAACTCAGAGATGTGTCCTTCGTGGATATTAGCGCCAGCTACCCTAACACTGGCATGTTGACCATTTGAATTAAAGGCTCTTGAAAAATGACAAAATCCAAATGCATTGTAGCTCAATCTGTTTCTGGTTTTTTGTTTGTTTGTTTGTTTTGTTTTGTTGCAATACAGGGGATGGATTCCATGGGCACTTTACCACTGAGATACATCCTTATCCCTTTTTATTTTGACAGAGCCTTGCTAAATTTTCCTTGAATTTAGGATTCTCCTCTTCAGCCTCTTGAATGGCTCAGATTAGAGGCCTAGGCAACTGGGCCAGGCCCCTTACTGTTTCTTAAAAGAAGGAGACTGGATCCTTCTATCAAAGATTTCTCCCTGCACTAGAAACAAAAGCAGTGTCCTTATCCTCAAGGAGAAGAGGAGAGGCAGGGATACCCTACTGACCGATAAAATAGCTTTTTTTAAAAAACTCCCCACATTTCTGCCCCTCCAGCGTTCTTCATCCACCCCAGTGTAAAAGTAACTGCCTTCTAACTGCTGCCTCAAGGCCTCATTTCTTCACAAGGCTCCTGTGCCATTAAAACTTGTAAATATGTTTGTATTTTTTCTCAAGCTAATCTGTCTTATTTAATTCTCAGACCCATCTACAAGGATGTAGGTGGGTCTACCCTTCACCATACTAAGATATTTTTTCTCTTTGGTTCACTAAGCTTAAAAAGGGCGGGAACAACAGGTGATTTGCACAGGAACCCACCCAATAAGTGAAGTTCATTAACAGAATAGTAAGTTCCAAAAGACATAAAATCCAGTTGCTTAGAATGAAGATCCTGTGTAAGGATGGCCGTAGGCCTTAGCCTAAGCAACTCCATTTTAAAACTCCAGTTTGAAACCTGTAGTTTCACCAGGCACACCTAGGGAGCCCTCCAGTGTGGTCCTCAGGCACAAACAAGTCACTTCTCCCCACCCTGACAAACTCAAGAGTGAAGTCTCTGGCATGCCAGAAAATCAGGGTGGGGACCACCAGACCAGATGCTTTAACCTCAGGACGAATGATGTCACTAAGAAATTCGCAGCTGATAGGGATTGAAGGGAAGTCAGAAGCCTCACAATTTAGCATAAATGATGGAGCAAATGAACAGACACTCAGCCAGCTGACAATGATGCCCACATGCCAGAGAGCCTGATGAGGACCTGGACTGACACCCCAACGCTTTTCGTAGTTTGCTGATCCTCTGCATTTTCCTCACCACTCTCAAACTCTACAGCCACATCTTGACCCTAGTGACAACAGCAACTTCTCCTTAGGACCCTCTCCTCAGCTGGCTGTCAGCTCCACCCCAGGAGAAGCCTGCCTTGGTTCCTGACCTGATCACTGTGGTCAGAGTGAATGTGCATCTGCTGGACTTAGAGCCTAAGGCTGGAGACTTTTGATCTGATACTTGGACTGGCATGCAGTGGGAATGTCTGTCATTAGCTTGTCATGATTAAGTGTGTTTGCAGTGCTTAGAATTAATCTAGAATTGTTTCTTGTGAATTGATCATGTGTATTGCAGTGCTTAGCATTAAGGATTGTCATTTTCTTGATTAACCTGTAGAGTGAAATTGTATTGTTTTGAGTGAATAAAGCATTGAAAAGGGCAAAAGCACATGGACATTCTTTATTTCTCCCCGACTGCATAAGTTGAAACTTTTGCCCATCACGACAACCTGTAGAAGGTGAAGTCCAATTTAGAGTGGTTCTAGGTGAACTTGGCTTTTTCCAAAAGTTCAGGCCTTGTCCCTAATGCCAACCCAAGAACAAGGACACGGTTTTGAGAAAAAGGAGACGTTTTATTGCTTTGCAATTGAGAAACTGATGTGACTCCATTTAAAAAAAATAAATAATAGCAGCTTCTATCTCGAGAACTGTCCTAAGGAAGGGGGCGTGACCTTTGTCCTTGGAAAAACCCACCGAGCACTCCTAAGCACATATCTACCCTGCTGAGTTGTTTGTCTACCAATAACAGGAGAGATCTGGGGTGCCAGGTGTCCCTGACTCAGTTAGGCTAGATGAGGACCCATAGGAACCCCCCTAGCAACCTCCAATCAGCATGAGACAGGGAAAATACCTGGGATGCCAGATGACCCCCCAGTAGTTTATGGTGGTTGATAACATGTTGGGAAACCATGTAGTTTAGCATGTACACCCCTCATGGCCTAAATCAATCAGTTCAAAGAAATACCCCTCTTGTACTAACCAATCACCCCTACCCAACTTGTTCCCGCCATTGAATGTGCTAACAATGTTAAAGAGTTGTTGTTTGACTTTCCTGTGGTATGGAATGATTTGCTGTGTGGTTATGACACATAGAGTATCTCCCCAAAACCTATAAAATCTCACTGGACAAAGTTCCGGGACTACTGAGTCGG